GAATAGCTCGTGCCTGGCAACATGTGAAAGCCCCAAATTTTAAATTTAATAACTATCATCTAACTAATAAGTGGTTTTTTAATTTGTTTGTTTGTTTGCAATTTGAGAGTCCCCAAACCCATGTTTACCAAGGGCAGTTGTGGAGGTGGGGGAAACAGGATCTGAGGAAAAAATGATGGTCCTTGTGGCGGGTAAAAACCAAATCTCTGAAAAAAAAGAGACATGATGCCAGTCATTTCAGACAACTGTAAACTTTTAAAATGATGAACATGTCATTTGAAAAAAACAACTAGAAGTTTACCTGTCCACTGGAACTTCCTCCAGGTGGTTCAAGCTTGTAAAACAGCACCGGCAACAAGGTAAAGCAACATATGGCAAGACATTATTTATTACAAAGAGATTTGATGAGAATAGGTAACAAGCCACTATTGAGCGTTACGCTGGTCAGTGGTATACCTTCACTTCTGAAATGAAAAGCAGTTGTGTATCCAATGGGGAAAGGTTGAATTAATTTTGTCCAGTGATTTAGAAGGTGTACTTTTGGCTTTTAAACTTATTTCCAAATGATGTTTTTATTTACATTTCTTAAGAGTAATTACATGTTGCATGCCTCTTTATCTTCGAATCAATAATGATCTCAATTTCATTCTCAGCATTTAGAAGTTCAAAGTGAAGAGCATGTAGAAATGTAAATTTAAATTTGGAATCCCCAAACACAAAGTTTGAAAGCTCCCTCACTTTGAAAGCTCCTTTGTCAAAAAATGTGCAGGAAAGAGGATTTCTTGTCTACTTGGTGCCCTCCATATTCAGACTGTAATCGACACAGATCACACTCAGAGATCTCATTTGTATAGATGTGGAAGGCACGGCTATAGTCAGCATGAGATGGTTTGGGGTAAAGGCATTATAATGAAACCCAATTTAAACTACATAACTAAGACCCAGGTCACTGTGGAATTTGAGTTCTAGCTTCCTAAATTTATTTGAGAACTTCCTGTTTTCCAGTTAGGACTCTTATGTGCTTTAGAAACATTTTTATTATCTTTGCACTACTCTGAGGTAGTTCTTATGACTCATTTTATAGACATGGGTTAGTTCCTTGCTCAAGGTCACGTGGTTTACAGATGCTATGTGGAACTGAGATTTGTGCTGAGAAGACCACTGGGCTGAGGAACAGTGATAAATTCCTGATTCTATAACTTTCTTGGACTCTACCTTTCTCTTTTGTGAAAGGAAAAGATACAGGATATGCCTCCTAGCCCAGAAATACTATCTCTAGAATGGAAATGGAGTGGAAAATGGAGGCGATGTACTCACAGGGATGGGCAGAGCAGCGGCAGTGCTCAAAAGGCCAGCCAAGAGGAGAACTTTCATTCTGAAGGAAGAGTCTGGAATTAAAGGGTTAGAAGATTTTTAGTTTTTTCTAAGTCCCATTCCTGTTGTAAACAGGCTGCTTAGTTAGAGGTATTGCAATAGTGGTCAGGCTAAATTATGCCTCAATTCAGGTTTTGTAAGCCTAGAACAGAGCTTTAAAAAACTTTGGATGCCTTTAGACAAGACATGCATTCTCTGGCTCATAACATTGCATACACTTCATACACTTCCTTATAATCTCATAGTTCAACATACTTGTTTGGCCCCTGAAGTTATTTGAATTTGCAGTCTCTACCCACCAATCTCCACCACCACTGTTGCATCATGCTTAGTATTGGGGACATATCACCAGTGGCTCAAATGAGTTTTTTTTTTTTTTTTTAATTTTTTTTTTCAACGTTTTTTATTTATTTTTGGGACAGAGAGAGACAGAGCATGAACGGGGGAGGGGCAGAGAGAGAGGGAGACACAGAATCGGAAACCGGCTCCAGGCTCCGAGCCATCAGCCCAGAGCCTGACGCGGGGCTCGAACTCACGGACCGCAAGATCGTGACCTGGCTGAAGTCGGACGCTTAACCGACTGCGCCACCCAGGCGCCCCAAGTTTTTTTTTTTTTTTTATAATATACACATAAATCCACCTTAAGCTTCTACCCCCATGAGACTTACTAGACCTTTGCATAGCCTGGATGCTGTTACTGACAATTATAATTTCTCAAGGAGAAAATGATACGGGAAAAATCTTGTAAGGCAAATGGGTTGGTAGAGAATAGCACAATATGAGTGGATTCAATAAAACAAGTAAATCAGTGTGGTCTTTACTGGTCAGTAGATTCTGAAAGCAAACATTTTTATGGTCTTAAATCACATTTAATTCAAATTAACTTACCGTATGCATTTCAAACCCAACCACTGTACTCTGGAATTAAATTTTGAAAGAAAAATCAAACCCATCATATTCTCATTAAGATTTGTCCCCAGCATCGGAAACAAGGTATATCTCTTTATAAAAGTCACTAATATAAAAGTCAACTAATTTAGATGTATTTTAAACTCAGCTATGACTTACCTTCATGCTATTTTACTTTGCCTGAATTTGGGCAACTTACCTCCCTTTTCCTTCTTTTTCACGTTTCTCCTTTATGTTTTTCTTCCTTTTGGATCCAAACCCTTGAATTTTTTTGTGTGATAAGTGGGCCTATTAGAAATCATTAAATTACCCAACACAAGAATATTTTAACAGTCTTCTACTTAGTGCAATAGAATCAGTCCAAATTATATTGTATGTCTTTGTAATTACCTTTGCTTCAAATGGCCCTCGGAGCAATGAATTCAAGGAACAGTGTGATCTTCTAGAACTGTATACCCATCTAGTATTTAAGCCATATTACTAATACCTTTATGGTCATGGGCGATATGAGTCACAAGGTTTAAAGCTAAACTGAATAACTGGTTGCAGACTAAGAACTCCAACTCCTCAGGTATCTCACACAGAGAGAGGCTTAAAGACGGATTACTGAGAAAATAACTTCATCTCCTCAGTTGGGATCAGAGCAACATCTTTATCACAAATAATCCACAATTAAAATTTGTGGCTACCAAGAATATTACAGTGTTTCTACAATATATCATCTAGGGCAGCTATACACAAGGGAGACTTAATGGACAGAAAAATTAAAGGTTCTAGAACTTTCTATTTTAAATACTATTTATTATTTCAAAATGAACTTACTTTCAAAGAAAACATTTTAAATAAACAGGTAGTGTCTTTAGAATTAAAATCATTTTGGGGCACCTGGATGGCTTAGTCAGTTAAATGTCTAACTTTAGTTCAGGTCATGATCTCACAGTTCCTGAGTTTGAGCCTTGCCATTGGGCTCTGCACTGATAGTGTGGAACCTGCTTTAGATTCTTCGTCTCCCTCTTTCTCGGCTCTTCCCCTGCTTGTTTGCTCTCTCTCAAAAATAAATATTAAAAAAATAATTAAAATCACTTTTCACTATTCTAAAATGTTTAAAAATGGCAATTTAGGTCTAATCACCTCCAAATATAATTTCACCATTCCTGACAAATTCACAAATTTACAATTGTTATTGGTTAAGACCTCATGACATTTCTTTGCAGCTACACATAAGAACGTTTTGAATTTTGGAATAAGTTCCAAAATTATTTCCCTAGTTGGAAAAATTATAAATACTTATATTTTGATTAATCAAACTGAACTTAATTATTTTGAAATGACATGGTGTGATACGGTCTAAGAACAAGTGACTCAGAGCTAAGAAAAGACATAAATAAAATTTTGAGGTTAATCAGAGAAAATTTTTCTGATAAAAAGCATACTCTTCCATAAGTTCCTTCAGATGAAATTCCTTGAGGTACCTTGTCTCAGTGACTATCAAGGCTCTTAACAACAACAACAGCAACACATTTTTGATTATTTGAAAAAAATAACAAAAGGCAATTGCATTGATATCTTTCATTTTAGATAGGAAAATATGTTAAAAAATTAAAAAAAATAAAACATAAATAAAATAATAAAAAATAAAAAATAATTTATTTCCTTATAGATATTGTAAGTAGGATATAGAAGTTGACAGATTCTTTTACTGCCTTGTTTCAGACCTTAGGAAAAACTCTATTACGGTATCTTTTATTATTTTTGTAATCTAGCCCGTACTGTATTAATAGTTACCAAAAAAGAGTCCTAATGAAAACACAAAGTTTCTCTTATGACACAATTTCTTGCTATAAAATTGCAGTAGTAATATTTATCTCTGACTACACTGAACATTAAGATACTTCAGAGCTTTCTGTCTGTGTTGTCTTTACCCTTATTTTGAGTATATGAGACACGCAAAAAATTTGCAGGACCTCCACTTCCCGTAACACACACTGACAGCTGCACAAGAGCTAGAACCAGATGTACCAAGCAGTGCATAATCATCCACATTTTAAACTGAATTTGGTAAAGAGCACTTGGATTTATTTTTTTCTGTTTGAAGTTACATTATGACAAAGGACATTAATAAGCATCTACCATTTAATAAGTGAATATTTGTTTCCCACAGGAAACATCTCTCCCAACCATACTCCTGCCTTTTTTTTTTTTTTTAAGTAGTAGGGTCTAGGGAAGCACAATTATAATTTGAAGTGTGAGCCTTGAGTTGGTCTTTCACATATAGCTGTTTAAATAAACGACTGGAAATAAACTTGAGTAAGCATTTGGATTTTTATTAGGATATTAAGATACTGAAAGTAATGCACATTAATGACAAAAGAGCATTATTCCACTTTCTTGAAGTGTACATGATATTATGAACAAAACGAATGTAGTATTTTCTTCAAGTTTCATAATTAGGAAGTATCTCACAAACAGATGTAGAGAGTGTTCACAAACAGCATACAGGATTTTGCATATGTAGATTTTATTTTAAAGTTTAATTCCAAAGTTAATGTTAAATGCTTAGTGCATACACTGTCAGCAAGCCATTACTCTTATTGTCATCTCACACATGCAAAAGTTTTGCTAAATATAAATCTACAAGTATCATGAATGCATATATTTTCAGGAGTGGTCAGGACAGAGAAGGATGCTGGAATGTTAGAATTCTTTCAAATCTTAATTCAAAACAGGAGATTTTCATCTATGTCTTCTGTAAAAAACAAAAACAAAACAAAACACATTTTTAGAAAACAGCCAGAGTTGTAATATAAACAAACAATGATAGAACTGGGGGATTAGAGAAACTATCTAATAAGACTTACAGGATAGTTCTCAAACCTGATAGGGCATCAGTGCCACCTGTGAAGCTTTTATTTATTTATTTATTTTAAAGTTTACTTATTTATTTTGAGAGAGAGAGAGAAAGGGAGGGAGGGAGGGAGGGAGGGACATAGGGAGGGGCAGAGAGAGAGGGAAAGAGAGAGAGAATCCCAAGCAGGTTTTGCACTGTCAGCACGGAGCCCAACATGGGGCTAGAACCCATGAACTGCGAGATCAGGACCTGAGCCGAAACCAAGAGTCAGACGCTTAACCAAATGAGCCACCCAGGCACCCCATCTGTGAAACTTTTAAAAAGATACCATATGGCTTCACTTATATGTGGAATCTAAAAAACAAAAACAAAAAGCAGAAACTGATGGCTGCCAGAGGGGAGGGCATGGGGAGATGGGCAAAATGGGTGCAGTGGGAGGTACAGGCCTCCAGTTATGGAATAAGACACAAGCATAAAAGGCAGAGCGTAGAGAATATAGTCAGTGGTATTATAATAGCGTTTTATGGTGACAGACAGTAGCTATACTTGTGGTGATTACAACATAACGTATAGACTTGTTGAATCACTATACTGTACACCTAAAATTAATGTAACATTGTGGGTCAACTATACTTCAAGTAAAAAAAGATATACTCTCAGGCCTTACCCCTGGCCTCCTGAATCAGAATCTCCAGGGGTGGGCCAATGGCATGTATACATCTAGAAACTCCACTGGTAGTTCTAAATGTAGGGTTGAGAAGCACCAATAGAGACCTAGCCAAGAAATGCCAAGTATACTAACCTATAAAGGTTGCTAAGATATAACAGAAATAAATAGAAGTATAGGGTCAGTTAAATCAAATTTCCAACCAAGTAATTGTAAAAGAACTTGTTGCCACACCTTTGGACGAGAGAACATCCTTTAGGGGATATAAGATCACTCTTACCGGTATGGCCCACCCTCACTCAAGCATTGTTGAACAAATAGTTAAACAGATTAACTTGAAGCATACGAATGACTACACTGTCTGGGACACCAGGTAATTTTCCTGCTCAGTGTAAGTCTTACACAAGAGTAGGAAAGATTATGAACTTTGGTATATTTCCTTTGAACACTGGCTTCATTTGTAAAATGAATATTTTAGTCTCATTATTTATAAATTTACTTACTGTTGTGCTCACACTTTTTGCCTTCTTTTCATTGTTTGGATAAGAGATGTCCTTCCTTAACTTTAGGCTAATCCTCTGCCTATGCCCAGGATCTCTTCTGGCCTCAGAAATTCTCCCCCTAATTTTACTCTTTTGTTTTTCTTTCTTCTTTTTTAATTAAAAAATTTTTAAAAATTAGGCTCTGCAACATAGGGCTTGAACTCACAACTCTGAGATAAAGAGTGGCGTGCTCTACTAAGCCAATCAGACAGCCGTGTTTTTCTCATATCCTCAATCTTTCCTTTTTTACTGGACCCTTCCCATGAACATGCAAATATGCTGCATAGCCAGCCTTGAGTGCATGGCACTATGGGGACCATCAGTAAACACTTGTTGAATGAATGAATGAGTGTTCAAGCTTATTTTATTCCCAGAAATGCTTCCCTCAACTTTAAACCCCTTTTTAGTTCTTTCCTGTCTTCAAGCAGCCACTCTTTACCCTTTCTCATCTATTGTTTCTCAACCTATGGAATCTGGCCTCCATCTCTACTGTTCCATCAAAGTTGCTCTTACTAAGGCCACCCAGGATGCCCTTATTTCTATGTAAAAGGAGTGTTCTTAGTTTTTTATCTTACTTGACGTCTCAGCAGTATTTGGCACTGTGATCTCTTCTTCCTCTTCAAATACCTCCTTTGAAATGGCACAATCCTGTTTTCTTCCTTCCTTTCAGGAGACTTCTCATTCTCCTTCATGAACTCCTTCTTTCTCCTCTACCCATTATTCTTGGTTCCTTGGTGTTCAACCCTAGACCTTTTCCCACGTGGCTCAACACATTTTTGTGGGGGAATTAATTCCCTTCCATAGCGTTAATTACTTTCCGTATGCTTGTAATCCTCAACTATGTACTTACATTCCAAAATGTTGCCTTGAAAAGCTGACCCATGTATTCATGTATCTACTGTTCATTGTCTCCCAAGTACTTAAAAGTTCACATCATAAATGGAAGTTATCATCTTCCCAAAGTCGGCTTCTGTGCTTGTGTTTTCTGTCTCTGTTCCTCTGTCTCTTTGCCTGGCCTGAGCCCGGAACCTGGGTGTCATATTTCCCTTTGTCTCTATCTCTCAACTGTCTGTTCCCTGCCCCCACATATTTCCTAGCAAATACTTATTATTTCTATATTATATACACCTTGAATATGCTTACGTTCTTGAATATATCATGTTTATATTTTTAAATATTATCTTGAGTGTGTTTCTTTTTCTTTTTCCCCACTGTAACTGCTCTAGTTCAAGTTCTAATCAACTATGCCTGGATTTACCACAGGCAAATCAGCCAGTTCTCTGGCTTCTCCACCATGTAACCAAAAGAATCTTTCTTAAGTACAAATCCAGTGAAACCACTCCCTTGTTTAAAACACTTTGGTGATCCTCCAGTACTTTTAGGATAATGTCTTTAACTGGCTCAGTAGGACCTGCATGATCTGACTCGTTTGCCTATGAGTCTCAGTTGGAGGGTTTTTCTCAAGATTAATGTGGAATGGTATGTCATGAACACCAAATAAATATTACTCCTCTACCTTTCAATTAAACCCCACTTTTACACAGAAGGAGAATGAGACTTGCTGAGGTTAAGTGGTATGCCCTAACTCACATAGCTAACTCATGACAGAGCTGGATATTCGAGCACACCTAGCCCAGATAAAAGGCAGTTAAAATTCAGAATGGCCGTGGCTAAAATTTATCTTGTCCTTTCATGGATTTCCCAGCCATGAGGGAAGGAAGGGCACGCTTACAAATAGAGATTTTGTTGTGTTTTGTTTTCCCTAGCTACAGCCCAAAGCAGTAACTTGTTTGGTTGTTCTGACTGAATATTAAATATCTGCTTTCTTGGTTTACTATGTGAGAATTCTTTCCCTCCTTCAAAATAATGTAATCATGGCCAAACCACAGTGAACAAACAAGACCATTAAGAGCTTTTGGAGTCGCTGAACTTCAAGCCCTTCCTGCTCCTCCCAGACAACCACCCAGCACAGAGCCTGAGTGAGCCTACATGCTGAAGAGCTGCCAGAAGTTTCAGAGGAACAGTGAAGCACAACTGGTTTCCTTAAATAAATGGAATCTGTTCAAACTCAATCACTCTGTTAAAATCAAGTGCCATATAAAAGGGCACACACTGGGGTGCCTGGGTGGCTCAGTCGGTTAAGCGTCTGACTTGGGCTCAGGTCATGATCTCACGGTTTGTGAGTTCGAGACCCGCATCGGGCTCTGTGCTGACAGCTCAGGGCCTGAAGCCTGCTTCGGATTCTGTGTCTCCCTCTCTCTCTACCCCTTGCCTGCTCACACTCTGTCTCTGTCTCTCTCTCTCAAAAATAAACATTAAAAAAAATTTATAAAGGGCACAATATATCCTGTCCCAGCTACGTTTCCCCCTTTTGATAATGGTGGGGTGGAGGGAGTGGGGCAGCTGTACTCGGGTACACTTTGTCTTTTTAACATGGGAATTAGGAAAGTAGTTTTAGCCATTTTGGGGAATATATTTGAATTTATAAGTACTGTACTTACAGAATAGACGTTAGAAGGGAAATTGGTATTATTTATATGGGTTGGGGTCTTGACAGCTTATTCATTTCCTATTAATGCTAATAGGGTATAAACAATATGTCACAGCTTCTAAGACCTCTTCTCACATTATAGCAGGAGTTGGTCTGTGTGACCAAATGAATATGGCAGAAGTATGTCACTTCTGAGATTAGGTTACAAAAGACATTATAACTTAAGTCTTGGGTTCTCTCTCTCTTTTCTCTCACAGATGCCAAGCTGTGAGCAGTCCTATGGAGAGGACCACATGGTGAGGAAATGGAATCTTCCAACAGTAGCCATGTGGGTGAGTTCAGAGGAGATCCTAAGATAGAACTGTCCAGATAAACAACTCCTAGATTCCTGATCCTTGGAAACTGTGAACTTGTAAGCTTCTAAGCTTTAGGGTAATTTGTTATGCAGTGATAGGCGACCAATATACAGCACTTGGTGCTTACAAAAATATACATTCTTTGCTCCTTACAGTTGTGCTTATTTCACAGAATAATATTGTAGAGGCAAAGAGCTAACCCTTTCTGCTTACCTATTTATCAGTAAGTACTCAATACTCTCAGCTCTTTCTTTATAATTTCAAGGCATTCTACATATCATGAAGAATATATATAT